AAAACCAAACACCGCATGTTCTCACTCATAGGTGGGAACTGAACAATGAGAACACTTGGACACGGGAAGGGGAACATCACACACTGTGGCCTGTCATGGGGTGGGGGGAGGGGGGAGTGATAGCATTAAGAGATATACTTAATGTAAATGATGAGTTAATGGGTGCAGCTCACCAACACGGCACATGTATACATATGTAATAAACCTGCACATTGTGCACATGTACCCTAGAAATTGAAGTATAATAAAAAAAGAATATGCAGATGAGAACAAAGAAAACAAAAATAAAAACAAAACAACAAATAAAAGAAATGTGGAGAAATCACATTACATGACTTTAAATTATACTACTGAGCTATAGTAAGCAAAACATCATGGTACTATCATAAAAGCAGACACATGGTATTGTCATAAAAGCAGACGAATGCAACAGAATAGAGAAACCAGAAACAAAGCCACATACCTACAGTGAACATACATTTGCAAAAGGCACCAGGAACATACACTGGGGGAAAAGACAGTTTCTTCAATATATGGTGCTGGGAAAACTGGGTATCTATATGCAGAAGAATGAAACTAGACCACTATGCTTTTTTTGTTTGTTTGTTTGTTTTGTTTTGTTTTGTTTGTTTTTGAGATGGAGTCTGGATCTGTCACCCAGGCTGCAGTGCAGTGGCACAATCTTGGCTCACTGCAACCTCTGCCTCCTGGGTTCAAGTGATTCTCTTGCCTCAGCCTCCCAAGTAGCTGGGATTACAGGCACCCACCACTATGCCTGACTAATTTTTCTATTTTTAGTAGAGAAGGGGTTTCACCATGTTGGCTAGGCTGGTCTCAAACTCCTGACCTCAGGTAATCCGCCTGCTTCAGCCTCCCACAATGCTGTGATTACAGGCGTGAGCCACCACACCTTGCCTAGACCCCTATCTCTCACCATATACAAAAGCCAAATAAAAATGGATTAAAGACTTAAATCTAAGACCTCAAACTATGAAACTGGTACAAGAAAACATTGGGGGAAATCTCTAGGACAATAGTCTAAGTAAAAATTTCTTGAGTAATACTGCACAAGCACAGGCAACAAAAGCAAAAATTGACAAATGTGACCGCATCAAGTTAAACAACTTCTGCACAGCAAAGGATACAGTCAACAAAATGAAAAGACAATCCACAGAATGGGAGAAAATGTTTGCAAGCTACCCATCTGACAAGGGATTAATAAGCAGAATATGTAAGAAGCTCAAACAACTCTATAGAAAAAAAAATCCAATAATCCAATCAAAAAATGGGGAAAAGATTTGAAAAGACATTTCTCAAAAGAAGACATACAAATGGAAAACAGGCATATTAAAAGGTACTCAACTTCGCTGATCATCAGAGAAATGCAGATCAAAACTACAATGAGATATTATCTCGCCTCAGCTTAAATGGCTTATATCCTAAAGATAGGCAACGACAATTGCTGGTGAGGACGTGAAGAGAAGGGAACCCTTGTACACTATAGATGGGAATGTAAATGAGTACAACCACTATGGAGAAGAGTTTGGATATGTCTCAAAAAACTAAAAATTGAGCTACAATATGATCCAGCAATCCCACTGCTGTGTATATATCCAAAAGAAAGGGAATCAGTATATCAAAGAAATAACTGCACTCCTATGTTTGTTGCAGCACTATTTACAACAGCTAAGATTTGGAAGCAACCTAAGATTCCATCAACGGATGAATGGATAAAGAAAATATGGTACAGATATACAATGGAGTACTATTTAGCCATAAAAAGAATGAGATCCAATCATTTGCAACATCGTGGATGGAAGTGGAAATTGTTAAGTGAAATAAGCCTGACACAGAAAGACAAACATTGCATGTTTTTACTTGTTTCTGGGTTCTAAAAAAGCAATTCAACTTGTGGGCGTAGAGTAGAAGGATGGTTACCAGAGGCTGGGAAGGGTAATAAGAGTTTGGCAGGAGTTGGGGATGGTTAATGGGTACAAAAAATAGAAAGGATGAATATGAGTTACTATTGTTAGCACAATAAGGTGAGCATAGTCAATAATAATTGCATATTTTTAAATAAAGAATGTAATTGGATTGCCTATAACTCACAAGATAAATGCTTGAGAGGACGGTTACTCCATTTTCCATGCTGTGTTTATTTCACATTGCCTGCCTGTGTCAAAATGCCTCATGTACCTTATAAATGTGTATTAATACGTGCATAATGTACCCACAAAAATAAATAAAATATTAAAGTAAATAAATTCAGAAATTATTTCTGGAGAAATTCTGATTTCTAATAATATTGGTATAAAATAGACATGCACACATCAAAATGTAATGAACATTTATGATTTTTAAAAATAAACTACCTGTTATCATAAAATTATAAGAAAGTTAAGATTTCTTAGAAAGTATGAACAATTATCTCCAGAAGATAATTTTCTAATTTTAAAAATATCTCTGGCAATAAAGACATTTTATGTTATTGTCAGGAAGCTTTATTAACTTCAGTATTCATAGTTGTTAAACCTTATACATAAAGTTTTGCATCTCTAAAACTCAGGAATTCTGCTGACTTGATTTTTGTGTGTGGAGAATGGGGTCTTTCTATATTGCCCAGGGAGGTCTCAAACACCTGGACTCAAGCTATCCTTTCGCCTCTGCCTCCATAAGTGTTGGGATTACAGGTGTGAGCCACTATGCCTGGCCTGATGTGATTTTTCAGTCCCCATTTTCTCTCCTCATGTGAATACGGGGTCCTGCTTGAGCAGCATCTTGAGTTGATGTTTTAGAATTACATTTTTCATTCAATTAAAAATGCATATTACCATAGTATTTCAGAAATAAATGTTTGTTTATATTAGTAAAAGTATATTTTATATCCTTGAAACAAATGTTGAAATAAATAATGGAAATTTTGAATCTCAAGATTTTTTTCTCCTCTTGTTTTCATTTTCAAAACTTCAGAGAAGGGTATAGTGTTGCATGATTTAATTCTGTGAGTTTAGTATAATTTAAAAATATTACTCCTCTTCACATTATATGCTTTTCCTGAGTAAGGTCATCCACTCTTGCTTTCTGGGTGCCTCAAATTTGTTATGTCACACACTGAAGACATTGTCCTTGACCCTTTCCTGATGTTTTGTAATCTACTCTGTCATCTGGTTTCATCATCCTAGGAAATAACACCTAGTTAGTAGCACTGAAACATTGAAGCAGGACAATTTCTACATTTCAGCGCTTTCTCAAATCATCAGTTCAGTCACTTGCAAATTCTATATTTTCTACTGCTTAGCATTTTTTATATCTCATTATCATAATTCACTCTCTGACTCATAATTTTGAAATACTCTTGTTTAATTTCCCCCATGCCATGCTCATATCTATCTTTTTGTTGCTGCCAAGGTGACTTTTATAAAATATATTTATAATGATATATAACTCATCTGCTTTTGAATGGTTCCCCATTACATGATGGGGAGAGTTCACACTCTAGTGTGGCCCATATCTTTTGTGGTTTGGCCTGATTCTCCCATTTTCTCTCTCCATTCCATTCCCTCTCACTATGTTCCACTCTTACAGCATTATTTTGGTACCCTTCATTTGCCCTATCATTTCATGCCTCATCCTTTTGAGCATGCTCCTCTGTCTAGAAACCCTTCCTGCCCTCACTGTTCTTTTCTTGGTCTATGTTTCAAAATATGGCTCTATCTTTGTAGCATTTCCTGAGCTCCCCAAGTAGAACTGATTGTTCTTTTCCTTGTGCCTGTACTTACTTTTTTCACTTTAGTTGTAGAACTCATGGACTATACTTTTCTGTTTTTATTACCTTTTATATATCTCTAACTTTGCTGAAATATAAGGCAGGACCTGACTTTTACTTATATTTTTAGCTTCTCCCCAAATATTGCTTATGATTTGATAAACACAGTACATTTTTGTTGTCTTACTGACAGAATGGTGAGTAAATACAATGTTTTCTGAAGTTGCTGTTCTTTTCTTTTTAATAGGAGAAAGCAACAGAGCCAGCAAATGGAAAAAGACAAAATGGTATGGGTATTATTGAGAGTGCTCCACAAGAGCACACAAATAATGAAAATTTAATTTTGATTCAAAAATGTTCGAGGTGGTAAGTTAGTGAATATATCTGAAAAACAGCATATACTAAGTATTTTCAATAGAAAAACCACCCACCTATGTAGATCCAAACATAATATTCATTTCTTTCCCACAGTATTTTTCTGTCTTTCTTTATACTACCAACTTTTTCCTGAAACTACTTCAATTCCTCAATTCCCTGAAACTTTTTTCTTTTCCTTTTTGCTATTACTTTTGTTTCACTGAAATATTTATGGGTGAAGACAAACTTGTATAGGTATATAAAATTCATAGTGATAAATTTTCTCATGAGTGTATCTGTGTATAACATTTTATAGATGTGCCATTCGCAGTAAAATCAGGACAAAAGGAAGATATCCAATCACATTTGGACAGCAAGGTATTATCTATTGTTATTGCTGCAGTTATTATTTTAGAAAATAAGCATTCAGTGATGTTACAACATAAAAGAGAATGCTTTCACTTCACTTTTGTGCCTCTGCGTATGCCCATAAATAATTATTTTCTGGCCAGGCACAGTGGTTCACGCCTGTAATCCCAGCACTTTGGGAGGCCGAGGCAGGTGGATCACCAGAGGTCAGGAGTTTGAGACCAGCCTGGTCAACATGGCAAAATCCAGTCTCTACTAAAAAAACCCAAAAATTAGCCAGATGTGGTGGTGCACACCTGTAATCCCAGCTACTCGGGAGGCTGAGGCAGAAGGATCACTTGAACCCAGGAGATGGAGGTTGCAGTGAGTCGAGATTGCACCATTGCACTCCAGCCTGGTCAACAAAGCAAGACTCCATCTCAAAAAATTTATTTTCTTACATTATCAGCCCATAATTAGTACAGTAATTATGTACAAAGTATATCACTGCTGCATAGTACAATTCTGTTAATTTGGAGGATTCGTGTAAAAAGCCGGTGTCACATAGTACAAAATTTATAAGGGTTAGAAGTCACAAGGAATCAAACTTAATCTAAAGTTAAGTTTATCTAGAAACTAAAAAATTGTTCCATGTCAATATATAGCCAAATGTATGATTCTGTGTTCTACCTGGATGTGTAAAAGTGCTAATGAGATTCAGAGAGAAAGAGTTTGGACTGGAGTTTTGTACAACTTGAAACCCGAAAAGACAATGCCTGGGATTTAAAATACTACTGTATTTGGATTGACTAGTATAGATGTGCAAAAAAATTTCAGAAGAAGCAAAAGCATGGGGAGTTGTAAATAAGTGAAGCTATAAACACAGTAGTTTGGTTTAGTGGTGTTTTATTAAGTAGAAATCATATTCAAAAAAAGAAAACATTAGTACCTTTATGGTAAATGATGACTATTCTCAGGTGACAACAGTAGAAAGAGATGAAGGGGCCTGGCTTCTTAGAAGCAGTTGCTGTATTGTGATACCAGCACCAAGTTGGTCAAAAGACATGTTGTTATCCTGGTGCTTTTACTTACTAGCTATGAATTTCTGGTAAAAATTATTTAACCTATTTGAATGTCGAGTGATGCACCTCATAAAAAGGGTACTAGTATGTACTCCTAGGCATGTGTAATGAACAAATGCGCTGAAAAATTGGAAAGCATTTTGTAAACCTGAGAGTGTGACCACTAATGTATAATAAAGTGATCCACAGGGGTATTCGGTGGCTCAATAAGTATTGAGGATGCTTCATGTAAACCCTGAGGACAATACAATGACAATAGCATCAAGAAAAGTTTGGGAAAGTCAGAGTGGGCATGTGGATTTCTAGTTTGGGGAACATGAGTTTCAGCAGACTATTACTAGAGAACTCTTCTAGGAATCTAGTGGTTTGGTGCTTAAGACATTCCCATGGAAATTTAAGTGTTTTGACCTTGAGTGAATTTCTACTGTTGAGCACCAACTCTGCTAGGCAACTAGAGACTGAATATAGATGATGGGGGCTTAGGTTACAGCAGCAAGAAGAGAAAAACAAGTAAATAACCCAGCATTGTAAGTTGAATGTGCTTCCTATAAAGAAAACAGAGAAGACAGAGATTATTGGAGAAGTTTGTAGTTAGCATGGGGATGGGAGTGGCAGTAAAGTTCTGTAGTCAGAGGAGATGTTTCTGCATGTGACATTGAAACTGTCAACTAAAGGATGAAAGGAGCCAGCCATGGGAAAGTCTAGGAGGAGGACATTCTGGACAGAGAGGAAACAATGGATCTCATCTGTTCATCATTTTCTTGTTAACATCCTAGAATCACCAGAAAGTGGGGTTACCATCATCAACTTCATCATCATCATTATTTTTATTACTGTAATGTGTAGAAAAGAAAATGTGAAATTATCTTGCCTGGCACATTTTAAATGCTTCACAAATTAATGTTCTGAATGTTCTTGTTCTGCTTTTTTTTTTTTTGAGATGGAGTTTCACTCTTATCGCCCAGGCTGGTGTACAATGGCGCGATCTTGGCTTACTACAACCTCCACCTCCCAGGTTCAGGGGATTCTCCTACCTCAGCCTCCACAGTAGCTGGGATTACAGGAGCATGCCACCACATCCAGCTAATTTTTATATTTTTAGTAGAGGTGGGGTTTTGCCATGTTGGCCTGGCAGGTCTCGAACTCCTGACCGCAGGTGATCCACCTGCCTCAGCCTCCCAAAGTGCTGAGATTACAGGCGTGAACCACTGCCTGCACCCAGCCTTGTTCTGCTTTTTATACTAAGACTCAATATACTTTGTTGAAGTTACTTTTTTATTGGGAGAGCATTGCTTACTATATCTAATATTTGCTTACTTATATATAAGTATATATAGACATAATATATATATATATGTTTATATATAGACATAAACTAAAGGTTTTCTCACTGGTTTGTAGTTGTATTCAACCATTTTTTCTATCAGTAAAAATGGTATGAAAGACTGTGTAGATTTCTCCAAGCCCTTGTTTACCTAAATGAAGGAGCTTCTACCATGTTCTGTTTATACGCAACATGACACACACCACAGTTTCTTATTGTGCTGTCTTAACATTTACATTTTCTGTAACTAGAAATCTTTTAAATATTTAATGCTTTAAGTGTATTACCAAGTGTATTGTGTAGTATTTTAAATGGTCTCTTACATTTGGTTGGGAATGTAGGGTAGAGTTAGGTATTTTGAAGTTAGTCTCTTGCTGCAATATGCACATAAGTTATTATTTGGTCTGTGAATATATTTCTTGTAGCCTTTTAGTCTGGGTGTGCAAAGTCAGTAGCCCTATGAAGATAAAAGATAAGTTTGATTTAGAGAGCCTATCTATGTAAGTGTCTCTATTGAATAATTTAGGTTCCCAACACATGTTCTTATTTTGAAGTTATCTGAATGAAAAACACCTTCTTTAAAAGAAAGTGTTTGGGAAATCTTTATGTAACTACTACTTCTTTTTCATCTTCTTGAAACTCATTGTTGTTATTAATTTTTACAGAAGATCTCCAAGAATCACACAGAGAATGGTGGCACTCATGTATCTGGGGCTACAGACTGTAAGACAAAATATGTAATAAATGGGCAAGAAGAAGGTAAAAACTGTATATCATATCATACTAAGGCTCAATATACTTTGTTGAAGTTACTTTTTTTATTGGGAGAGTGCTGCTTACTATATTTAATATTTGCTTACTTATATGTAGACGTAAACTAAAGTTGAATGACAGTATGTCTCTTTTGCTTACTTATATTTAGACATAAACTAAGTTGAATGACAGTATGTCTCTTTAAAAACACGAGCACTAGTATATTCTAATAGCCAGATAAAACTTCTTAAAATGACTTCTTTTTTTAAAAAATTTTTTTGAGATGGAATTTCACTCTTGTTGCCCAGGCTGGAGTGCAATGTTGCGATCTCGGCTCACCACCACCTCCACCTCCCAGGTTCAAGCGATTATCCTGCCTCAGCCTCCTGAGTAGTCGGAATTACAGGCATACACCACCATGCCTGGCTAAGTTTTTGTATTTTTTCTATATGCTTCATTTTCATTCTTTAAGCTCTGGTGCCTGACACATAGCAGGACTCCATAAATAATTGCTGAGTAAAATATATAAAGGCTGTTTATAGAAAGATGATTTGCAAGTTGTCCCCTATTGTGTAGAAGCAAAGGAGACAGTCATGTGAAGCAATAATATACAGTTAAGGTGGTAAAGATGCAGTAGAAAAATCAATAAAATAGTAAGGCAGCCCCAAGAAAGGAGACACCTGTTTATCTGGGGAATAAAGATACTAGTTAAAAAAATCACCAGAATCAACTAAGACTTCACATAGCCACCTATTTTAAAAGAAGAAAATAAATTTGTCAGAATAGTAGAGGAAAGCATTTCAGGTATTAGGAACAGGGTGCACATCGATAAAAGTGTAAACAGTTGTTTTGGAAATCATCAATCAGGTACTACCATGAAATAGAGAATAGTATACCTCATTACTATGTAGGGATGTTTCTACTAAATTTTAAAGTATATTTCTAATTTTTAATTTTTTGGGTACAAGGTAGGTGGATATATGGACTACGTGAGATATTTGGATACAGGCATACAATATATCATAATCACATCATGGTAAATAAGATATCTATCACTTCACGGATTTATCCTTTGTGTTAAAAACAATCCAATTATACTGTTTTAGTTATTTTTAAATGTACAATTAAGTTATTATTGACTTTAGCCACACTGTTGAGCTGTCAAATACTAGATCTTATTCATTCTATTTTTTGGCACCCATTAACCATCCTCTCGTCCTCCCTCAATACTGCCCCGCCACTCTTCCCAGCCTGTGGTAATCATTATTATACTTTATCTCCATTAGTTCAATTGTTCTAATTTTTAGTTTTAAAAAATAAATGAGAATATGCAAAGTTGGTTCTTCTGTGCCTTGCTTATTTCAGTCAGCATAATGACCACCAGTTCCATCCATGCTGTTGCAAATGACAGAATGTAATTGTTTTTCATGGCTGATTAGTACTCTATTGTGTATATGTACCACAATTTCTTTATCCATTTGTCTGTTGTGAAAGGTGTAGGTTGCTTCCAAATCTTGGCTATTGTGAATGATGCTGCAATAAACATGGGAGTGCAGACATCTCCTTGATGTACTAATTTCCTTTCTTTTGGGTATATATCCAGCAGTGAGATGGCTGGATCATATGGTAGCTCTATTTTTAGTATTCTGAGGAACCTCCAAACTAATGCTCATAGTCATTGTACTAATTTACATTCCCACCAACAGCATACAAGGTTTCCCTTTTCTTCACATCCTCATCAGCATTTGTTATTGCCTTTTGTCTATAAGCCATATTAACTGGGGCAAGGTGACATCTCATTATAGTTTTGATTTGCGTCTCTCTGATGATCATTGATGTTGAGAACCTTTTCATATGCATGTTTGCCATTTGTATGTCTTCTTTTGAGAAATGTCTATTCAGATCTTTTGCCCATTTTTAAATTGAATTATTAGTTTTTTTCCCATACAGTTATTTGAGCTCTTTGTGTATTCTGGTTATTAGTCCCTTGTCAGATGGGTAGTTTGCAAATATTTTCTCCCATTCTGTGGGTTGTCTGTTCCCTTTGTTGATTGTATCTTTTGCTGTACAGAAGCATTTTAACTTGATGTGACCCCATTTGTCTATTTTTGCTTTTGTTGCCTGTGCTTGTAGGATATTACTCAAAAAATGATTGCCCACAGTGATGTCCTGGAGAGTTTCCCCAGTGTTTTCTTCTAGCGGTTTTATAGCTTGAGGTCTTAGTTTTAAGTCTTTAATCCATTTTGATTTGCTTTTTGTATGTGGTGAGGGATAGGAGTCTAGTTTCATTCTTCTGCATATAGATATCCAGTTTTCCCAGCACCATTTATTGAAGAGACTGTCTTTTTCTCTAGTGTATATGTTCTTCTTCCCCAGTGTGTGAAGTCAAACATGATTTCACTGTAGGTATGTGGATTTGTTTCTGGCTTCTCTATTCTGTTGTGTTGGTCTGTATGTCTGTTTTTATGCCAGTGCCATACTGTTTTAGTTACTATAGCTCTGCAGTATAATTTGGAGTCAGGTAATGTGATTCCTCCAGTTTCTTTCTTTTTGCTCTAGATAGCTTTGGCAATCCTGGGTCTTTTGTGGTTCCATATACATTTTAGGACAGTTTTTTTCTATTGCTATGAGGAATGTCATTGGTATTTTGATAGGGATTGCATTGAATCTGTAGATTACTTTGGGTAGTATGAATGTTTAAAAAATACTGGTTCTGGCCCGGTGCGGTGGCTCAAGCCTGTAATCCCAGCACTGGTTCTAGCCGGGCGTGGTGGCTCAAGCCTGTAATCTCAAGCCTGTAATCGGGAGGCTGAGATGGGCAGATCACGAGGTCAAGAGATCGAGACCATCCTGGCGAACACGGTGAAACCCCGTCTCTACTAAAAAATACAAAAAACTAGTCCCAGCTACTTGGGAGGCTGAGGCAGGAGAATGGCCTAAACTCGGGAGGCGGAGCTTGCAGTGAGCTGAGATCCGGCCACTGCACTCCAGCCTGGGCGACAGAGCGAGACTCCTTCTCCAAAAAAAAAAAAAAAAAAAATTACTGGTTCTTCCAGTTTATGAAAATGAAATATCTTTTCATTATTTGGTGTCCTGTTCAATTTCTTTCACTGAAGACTTACAGTTTTCATTGTAGAGATCTTGTACTTCTTTGATTATGTTAATTTTTAGGTATTTCATTTTATTTGTAGCTCTTATAAATGAGATAGATGACTTCCTTGATTTTGATTTCAGATTGTTCACTTTTGGCATCTAAAATGCTACTGATTTTTGTATGTTGACTTTGCATCCTACAACTTTATTGAATTTATCAGTTCTAATAGTTTTTTAATGAGGTGTTTAGGTTTTCCAAATATAAGATTATATCATTATATCATTTTACTTCTTCCTTTCCTATTTAGATGTTCTTCATTTGTATCTCTTATCTAGTTGCTATAGCTAGAACTTTCAGTACTATGTTGAATAACATTGGTGACAGTGGACATTCTTGTCATGTTCCAGATCTTAGACAAAAGACTTTCAGGATTTCCCCATTATGATACTAGCTATGGGTCTGTTGTGTATGACTTTTGTTGTGTTGAGGTATATTCTTTCTATACCCAGTTTTTTGAGGGTTTTTATTATAAGGGGACATTGAATTTTTACCAGATGCTTTTTTTTGGTATCAGTTGAAATGATCATATGATTGTTATTCTTCATTCTATTGATATGCTATATCACATTGATTGATTTGCATGTATATATTCAATTATATATATATATTCAATTCTTTTTTGATTGATTTGCATATATTGAATCATCTTTTCATTCCTGAGATACACTTTACATGGTTATGAAGTGTAATTTTTGAAATGTGTTCTTGAATTTGTTTTGCTAGTATTGGTTGAAGATTTTTTGCATCAATGTTTATCAGAGAGATAAACAGTGTAGTTTTCTTTTTTTGATGTGTCTTTGTCTCATTTTGGTATCAGGGTAATACTGGCATTGTGTAATGAGTTTGGAATTATTCCATTCTCTTCTGTCTTTCGGAATAGTTTGAGTAGCATTAGTACTACTTATTCTTTAAATGTTTAGTAAAATTAAGCAGTCAAGCCATCAGGTCCTAGGCTTTGCTGGGAGACTTCGCTAGGTCCCCTAAACTTTGCTGGCTTCAATCTCATTACTTGTTCTTAGTCTGTTCAGGTTTTGGATTTCTTCGTGGTTCAATCTCGGTGGGTCATGTGTGTCTAGGGATTTATTCATTTATTATAGGTTTTCCAATTTTTTGGCATATAGTTTTTCACAGTAGCCTCTAACGATCTTTGAATTTCTGCAGAATCAATTGTAATGACTGCTTTTCCTTTTTTTAAAAAAAATTATACTGAAGTTCTGGGATACATGTGGAGAATGTGCAGGTTTGTTACATAGGTAAATGTGTGTCACGGTGGTTTGCTGCACCTATCAAGCTGTCACCTAGGTATTAAGCCCTGCATGTATTAGCCATTTGTCCTGATGCGCTCCCTCCCATCCTCCCACCGAGTTGCCCTGTTGTGTGTTATTCTACTCCCTGTGTCCATGTGTTCTCATTGTTTAACTCCCACTTATGAGTGAGAACATGTGATATTTGGTTTTCTGTGTCTGTGTTAGTTTGCTGAGGATAATGGCTTCCAGCTTCATCCATGTCCCTGCAAAGGACAGAATCTCATTCCTTTTTCTAGCTGCATGATATTTCATGGCATATATATACCACATTTTCTTTATCCAGTCTATCATTGACAGGCATTTGGGTAGGTTTCATGTCTTTGCTATTGTGAGTAATGCTGCAGTGAATATACATGTGCATGTATCTTTATAAAAGAATGATTTATATTCCTTTGAGTATATACCCAGTAATGGAATTGCTCGGTCAAGTGATATTTCTGGTTCTAGATCCTTGAGGAATTGCCACACTGTCTTCCATAAGGGCTGAACTAATTTACATTCCCACCAACAGTGTAAAAGTGTTCCTATTTCTGCACAGCCTTGCCATCATCTGTTGTTTCTTGACTTTTTAATAATCGCCATTCTGACTGGCATGAGATGGAATCTCATTGTGGTTTTGATTTGCATTTCGCTAATGATCAGTGATATTGAGCTTTTGTTCATACGTTTGTTGGCTGCATAAATGTCTTCTTTTGAGAAGTGTGTGTTCATATTCTTTGCCCACGTTTTGATGGGGTTGTTTCTTTTTCTTAAAAGTTTAAGTTCCTTGTGAATTCTGGATATTAGACCTTTGTCAGATGGGTAGATTGCAAAAATTTTCTTCCATTCTGTAGGTTGCCTGTTCACTCTGATGATAGTTTCTTTTGCTGTGCAGAAGCTCTTTAGTTTAATTAGATCCCATTTGTCAATTTTAGCTTTTGTTGCAATTGCTTTTGGTGATTTCATCATAATATTCTTGCCCATACCTATTTTCTGAATGGTATTGCCTAGATTTTCTTCTAGGGTTTTTACAGTTTTGGGTTTTACATTTAAGTGTTTAATCCATCTTGAGTTGATTTTTGTATAAGATAAGGAAAGGGGTCCAGTTTCAGTTTTCTGAATATGGTTAGCCAGTTTTCCTAGCACCTTTTTTTATAGGAAATCCTTTCCCCATTGCTTGTTTTTGAATGACTGCTTTTTCATCTCTGATTATATTTGAGTCTCCTCTCTTTTTTCTTAGTCTGACTAAAGATTTGTCAATTTTATGTAACTTTTCAAAAAAATCAAGTTTTTGTTATGTTCATTTTTTTGTATTGTTTTGTTTGTTTCAATTTCATTTATTTCTGTTCTGATCTTTGTTATTTCTTTTCTTCTGCTACCTTTGGGTTTGGTTTGATCTTGCTTTTCTAATTCTTTGAGATGCAATGTTAGGTTGTTTACTTAAAGTTTTGTCTCCTTTTTGATGCTGGCACTCAGCTATAATCATCTCTGTTAGCACTGCTTTCATGGTATCATATAGGTTTTGGTTCTTGTTCCATTATTGAGAAAAATTTTCAATTTATTTTCTTAATCTCTTCATTGACTCACAGGTTATTCAGCAGCATGTTATTTGATTTCCTTGTGCTTGTGTAGTTTCCAAAATTCCTCTTGTTATGGATTTCTAGTTTGAGTCCATTGTGGTCAGAGAAGATACTTGATAGTTTCCATTTTTTGAGGGTTTTAAGACTTGTTTTGTGGCCTAACATATGGCCTGTTCTTGAGAATGATCCACGTACTAAGAAGAAGAATGAGTATTTTGCAGCTTTTGGATGAAATGTTCTGTAAACATTTATTTGGTCCATTTGGCCTATAGGTCAGATTAAGTCTGAAGTTTCTTTGTTGATTTTCTATCTGGATGATCTGTGAAATTCTGAAAGTGGGGTATTGAAGCCTTCAGCTAGTATTGTATTGAGGGTGTGCTCTCTCTCTCTTTAGCTCTAGTAACATTTGCTTTATTTATCTGGGTTCTCCAGTATGGGTGCATATATATTTAAAATTGTTATATCCTTTTGCTAAAATGACCCCTTTATCAAGACACAGTTCCCTTTTTTGTCTCTTACAGTTTTTGTCTTGAAGTCTATTTTGTCCAATATAAGTATATAGCTACTGATTCTCTTTTTTGGTTTTCATTGGTGGGGAATATCATATGTCATGTTTTTATTTTCAGTCTATATGTAAGGCAAAAGATCATTGGGTCTTTTTTTTTTTTAAATTAATTCATTCAATTTATATATTTTGATTGGAGAGTTTAGTTATTTATATTCAATGTTGTTATTGATAAGTGAGGACTTATACCTGTTAGTTTGTAACTTATTTTCTAATCATTCTGTAGTCTTCTCTTCCTTCTTGTCTTCCTTTTAGTAAAGGTGATTTTCTCTGTTGGAAAGTTTTAATTTCCTGCTATTGTGTGTGTGTATCCATTGTATGTTTTTAGATTTAAGGTTACTATGAGGATTTGAAATCTACTTAAGATATGAGAAGTTTACACACCGTAATTACAGTGTTACAATATTATATGTTTGTCTGTGTACTTACTATTATCAGTGAGTTGCGGAAGATTCATTGATTTCAGGTTGTTTCTTATTGCTCATTAACATTCTTTTATTTCAGATTGAAGAACTCTCTTTAGCATTCCTTGTGGGACAGGTCTGGTATTGATTGAATTTGTCAGACTTTGTTTGTCTGGGAAAATCTTTATTTCTCCTTCTATTTAAAAGACATTTGCACTGGATATACTCTTCTAAGATAAAAGTGTTTTTCCTTCAGCACTTTAAATATGTCATGCCACTCTCTCCTGGCCTGTAAGTTTTTCACCCAAAAGTCTATTTCCAGTTGTATTGCAGCTTCGTTGTATGTTATTTGTTTCTCTTTGCTTGCTGCAGGGATAAATGAGCCTTTCTTTATTTTCGATCGTTGTAAGTTTGATTATTAAGGTCCTTGAGGTAGCCTTCTTTGGGTTAAATCTGCTTGGTTTTCTATAACCTTCTTGCACTTGAATATTGATATATTTCTTGAGGTTTAGGAAGAACTTTGTTATTTCTTTGAATAAACTTTCTTCTCCCATCTATCTCACTTCCTCCTCTCTAAGGCTATTAACTCTTGGAATTGCTTTATTAGGCTATTTTCTAGATCTTGTAGGCATGCTTCATTCTTTCCTATACCTTTTTCTTTTGTATCTTCCGACTGTGTTTTCTCGAGTAGCCTATCTTCAAGCTCACTGATTCTGTCTTCTTCCTGATCAGTTCTGCTATTAAGGGACTCATGCATCCTTCAGTACATCAATTGCATTTTTCAACTTCAGAATTTCTTCTTGATTCTTTTTAATTATTTCAATCTGTTTGTTAAATTTATCGGATAGAGTTCTGGAATTTTTTTCTTTGTGTTATCTTGAATGTTTTTTGAGTTTCTTCAACAAAGCTGTTTTGAATTATCTGTCTGAAAGGTAATATATCTCTGTCTCTCTGGAATTGGTCCCTGGTGCCTTATTTATTTCACTTGGTGAAGTCATGTTTTCCTGGATGGTCTTCATGTTTGTGGATGATTGTCTGTGTCTGGGCATTGAAGAGCTTTGTATTTATTGTAATCTTCAGTCTGGACTTGTTTGTACTCATCCTTCTTGATAAGGCTTTCCAGGTACTCAAAGGGACTTGGGTATAGTGTCTATGCTTTTGGTTACTGCACCCATATCTGCATTAGGGGGCAGGGACCCTAAGCCCAATAATTCTGTCATGTTTGCAGCCTCATAGAGACATGCTTTTGGTGGTTGTTCAATAAGAGCTGGAAGAAGTCTCTGAATTACCAGATATAAACCATTGTTCTCTTCCCTTACTATCTCCCAAACAAATGGAGTCTGTCTCTGTGCTACCTGGGGCTGGGGGAGGATTTAAATAAGCACCTCTGTGTTCACCCGCACTGGGATTTCACTGCATCAGACTGCTCAAGCCTGTAGGGCTCTGCAATCAACTGGTGGTGAAGTCAACCAGTCTTATGTCCTTCCTTTCAGGGCAGTGAGAGTCCCTTCAGGCCCCAGGAGGGGCCACATATACTGTCTGCGAGCCAGGGCCTACAGTTGGAAACCTTAGAAATCTACCTGGTGCTGTTTTCTACTGCTGAAACCACAAGACAAAGTCCTTTCCACTCTTCCCTCCCATCTCCTCAGGCAGAGGAATCTCTTACCATGTCCACCACCACCACCACGGACCTAGGAGGAATCCTGCCAGGGTACCACCAATGTTCACTTAAGGCCCAAGGGCTGACATTTAAAAATTTTTATTTTGTTTGTGATGGTTTTCTTTATTTATGTTTGGTAGATACATTTGCAAGTGAATGTTTGACATGTGTGTTTATCTTCAACCGGTGACATCTAGTGTCTCCCCAGGTGGTTTCTTGAAGTTTTAAGAATTAGGAGCATTTATTAAAGAAGTAAATATCCTGCTAAAGATTAAGCTTCCTTTAAATTCACAACTTATAAAATAAAATGAAATATTAGTTTTAATCTATTTTCATAAAGACTATAGTTTAACGTTTCAAGTAGTTCATTTTAACTAAATGTGTGATTTTTTCAGCAGAACGAGTCTCAGCAGTGATATCAGAGGAAGAGCAAGAAAGACTTGAAGAAAATGAAAACAATGAGCTCCAAGTATACAACAATTTCATTTAAATTTCTGGTTGACTATTATGTTCTTTGCTTTAATAATATAGGGTAGTCCAAATGAAATTACCTTTCGGGCTAGGTTTTGAGAATCAATAGATTCTTTTTTCTAAGAACTTTTTAATAGAATCTTAAAATTTAATAAATTCACAGTCTCATTAACAGAAGAATCAATAGATTCTAATTTACTATTTAATATTGAATTTTAAATACATTTTAACTAGTTATAAAACTTAAAAGATTTTTAAAATCTATACTAACTTATACCTCATCTTTACCCTTGGAATAGAGAGAAAACATTTTCAAAATTTTCTTTCCTTTTTTATCTTTATGACATGTTTACATGAGGAAGAAAGTAAAATGAATTATTGAATCATATTATTGAGCAAAAGAAGTTATGAACAGTTTAAGAGTGATGGCCGTTGTATTCATGTTAAAGGAGTCATGATGGCCAGTGGTTCAAAATGCGCAGTTTTATATTGCCAGTCACTAATGAATGCCAAGGCTAAACATGTATTCTGCCTCATGCTCTCTCATTGACTTCAGGTCATGTTTAGGAAGAGAGCTGGGTCATAAAATCAACCTAAGTGTTTATTAAGAGAACCATACTCTGCAGAATGGGACCTTTGGTATTAGGATATGAACAACAACTTTCTAACTTATTTCAGTGCAAGAAGTCAGTAAATAGTATAAAATTTGTAATCCATCATCATCGGTGGATATTAGAATATATTAGAACTGGACTTAAGCAGATAAACTGGATACATCAGAGTGTCATATTACAGAATATAATTTGAATTAAAATTTGAGAATTTGCTTTTCTTCCTGATTGGTATTGATTTTTTCTTCTAACAAAGTTTGCCTACAGTCCAGATAGTAATCTTCAGAAAAAGTACTTAAATGCACCGCACGTGCTCACTAGTTAGGGTATGCTGAGGTAAAATCTTTTCAGGTGAGGACACTTTTGTAACACTACTAATCATCTGCTCATTCATGTTTTGGTAGATATAACAAAAAATGAATTTATTCCAAACAACAGTGCCAAAGTTAAGTTTGCTGGTTTATTTTTTTCTTGCAGTTTTAGCTAAGGCAAATTATTTTTTACTTCTCCCTGTGATTTGGGAGCAGTTAAACATACAAAGAAATTTAACAATTAAATTTTAATTTTAATTACTTTAATTTTTTTTCTTTACACTTTACTGAAAATAAAGTTATTTTAAAAACATGCTCCTGGCTGGGCACAGTGGCTGATGCCTGTAATCTTAGTAGTTTGGGAGGCCGAGGTAGGACTGCTTCAGTCCAGGAGTTCAAGACTAGCCTGGGCAACATGGTGATGCCCCATCTCTACAAAATTGTTTTTGAAAATTAGCCAAGCATGGTAGCATGTGCCTGTGTTTCCAGCTACATGGGAGGCTGAGATGAGAGGATCACTTGAGCCCAGAAGGTTGAGGCTGCAATGAGCCATGTTTGTACCACGGCACTCTAACCCGTGCAACAGAGTGAGACCTTGTCTCAGAAAATAAAAACAAAAACATGCACTCTGACAAAGACAACTTCTGAGAAACAAAACAAGCAAATTAATCTTTCCCTTTTGCATCTGCCAAAAATATCTCAAGACCAAGAAAAAAATAAAGATTGGATAGAGAGGATACGTCTGTATATTCAGGACTTTTTTGTGTAAAAGTCTGAGGAAATGTGTATTAAATGAGGCAAATTAGAGTGGGAAAATGAAAATGAATTCACTTCTTACAAGTGAGTTAAATCAGAGGTTTGGTGAAATCTGTGAAAAATACAAATTACTGTTTTTCCTGAAGCCACTCCATGATAGCTCAAAAGGAGAAACAAACATAAAGGAAATTCCTTCTAATTTGACAAATAATATACTTGTGAGGGAAAAAGATGCATCTGGAGTGCCTGTCTTTGTGGCATTGCAGGCATTTTGTTGAACACATGGAACTCAGTCTCAAAAATGTGTGTATATCTCATTCATATTCTGGGTTTTTGGTCCATGTTTGCCAGACATCTTCTAAGCTTTATTTAAATGAAAATAAATTAGACTGTGAAAATAACAAACCAGATAATGAATATGTTTTTAACATAGATGAGGAGAATTTTTATAATGATAGAGACTCTAAGAAAGCGTGGAACTGTGAGCCGAGATCGCGCCACTGCACTCCAGCCTGGGCAACAGAGTGAGACTCCATCAAAAAAAAAAAAAAAAAGCAAGGGACCCAGAAGTTGTTACAATGGAAATGAAAGAAGGTCAAGAGTTTGATATGCAAATGACAAAAAAATATGACCAAGATACCATGAGGCATCAAATTAGACATCAGGCATATGCCTCTATCTAGTGATCCAAAAGGTCTTTCAGATTCATTGGGTACCCCCTCCAGAGAGATAAAACATGATTCAAATAAAAAGCCAAAAGCCGGCCGGGCGCGGTGGCTCAAGCCTGTAATCCCAGCACTTTGGGAGGCCGAGACGGGCGGATCACGAGGTCGGGAGATCGAGACCATCCTGGCTAACACGGTGAAACCCCGTCTCTACTAAAAAAATACAAAAAACTAGCCGGGCGAGGTGGCAGGCGCCTGTAGTCCCAGCTACTCAGGAGGCTGAGGCAGGAGAATGGCGTGAACCCGGGAGGCGGAGCTTGCAGTGAGCTGAGATCCGGCCACTGCACTCCAGCCTGGGCGACAGAGCGAGACTCCGTCTCAAAAAAAAAAAAAAAAAAAAAAAAGCCAAAAGCCACAGTATTTCTGCAGATATAGGCACTTAGAAGAAAACAAAAGCAATACAAGACTTGTTCCAGAAGCCATTCTATGACAGTCTCAGTGCTAGTAACTACAAAATCATGGTGCCTGAATTAGAAAATTTGAGTTCTTTATCACTACATCATGACAGAACATCAAAAGTAGATCTACAAAGAAAATGACAGTAAGATACACAAAGGTTTAAGAATGAAGTAGACATATTACAAGTAGAGTTCCTGGTTTTGAAGAAAGTTCAACTTCAAAAAGTGGTAGAGGTTTACTTGTTGTTACTCTTTGTTTTCTCTCTTTATCAATCATCGGATCCATTCTGAATTTCTACTGATGATAAACTTACGTGTAAAATTGGGTTATCTAAATCTGTACATAGAAATAGATTATTTCTGCTATCTAAATGATAGAAGTTCAGAAAAACTTTCTCTAATCTTTGTTCCTTGATCAAGCAAAGTCTATCAAGTTTTCCAAGTGGTATAAGAAATAATAAACTAATTTATCTATATGCCTATGACCTTCAGAACCAGGATAAGCATAAAGAAAATTGCTTAAAATTATAGCCCTAGGGTTTTCCCTTCCATTTATGTAAAGATGAGATGTGTTTAGCAATAAAATGGAAATACAATGGGAAGGAAGCAATGACTGAGAAGGGAGATAAAAATGTACTAGTTTTGAGAGTTGTAAGAAATATTCCTGGCCAATGAATCTGTTTCTTGTGCTTTCATGTTTTGTAGTGTATCTGTTTAACTGCAACTCTTGCAACATATAATTATATTATAACCACTTTCAATATTTTTGAGAAGTATATATACTTTCACATAATTTAAATAACTCTCAAATGTTTCTGTTGAGTCAGACTTCTATATTCTATTGTTTGATAGAGTATGGTAAGTTAATGGCGTATATGATATTTTTATATAAGTATCATAAATTCTCAGCCAAAAATTTAGTGTATGACTTTAAAGTAGAAAACTGAGTTCTAGACAGATAAAAAAGAAAGATAAAAGGCAGTGGGGAAAAGAATAGCTTAGTGCACAAAGGGTGAAGCTTCCTTTCTGTTCCTGAAGCCCCACAATATCACATCTTCAAAAGCTAGCTGTTTAAAATCCAAGTTGTAAAGAAGGAAGAAGACAATTTTTGTCTTTGTCTTTTATGAGGTGGTGGTGGGGGTTCTGGCCTTTGGTCCACTGAATAAAATGATGTTCTTAATTTAATGCCATTTGTCTGCAATAGTCAAGTAGTGATATTCATACTGGCCTCATGAAAAGCAGAAGCATTTGATACTTTCCATAGGAATTAATGATCTTTCTATAATGTCAAAACCCCTGCTACTAACAAAACATGTTCTAGTTGTTGAAAGTGATTTAATCTTAGTTTTATATTAATGGAGGGGTTAGTTTATTATTTCCACTGATAGGTAAGAAGAAAATGTATAGGCAGTTCAGAGACCATATTTTGGATGTTCTTCTTTTTACTTTTGAGAAGAGTAACAGTCTGCTCCAATAGTGTCTAATTTGAGTACAAAGAGTTTGAACACAATGGTATGCCACAATATATACTAGTGATAATTTACTAATATGTATTTTGTTCCTAGTAAAATAGTTCAGTATATTTCCCCCATTTCATATTTATGACTCTTTCAAACATAAAGAGGAAATAGAAGTTATTGCAATGACAAATGATTTTATGACTCTCTAAGCAAAGCTCTATAACTTTATCTTATTTACTATTGGTGTTTTGAAATAAAGTTTCTTTTTGTATTTAGTTACACTACAGAAATAAATGTGATTTGGTGGAGGTGCACTAGAAGTGGTTAGAAAACCTGGGGAAAATTTTGCAGCTTGCTTATTTTTTGACCACTCCTTTGCAGAATTGTGATAATTGAGTTTGGTGATGTATCTAAATACATCACCAAGTGCTTAGTGAGATGCTTATATTTAGCATTTATGCATGCATGTCATTCTTAGGACTGCCTATAAAAAATACTGCCAAAAGAGAATATCTGTAGAATAGTCTCAGGAAAAAGGAACTTAAAAGACATTGGGAATTTCATCTGTCCAAATATATGCAGAACTAAGGCTCTTATTATATGGTAGTATATAGGTTAGATATCAGAGTGTAAACCCAATATTTAATGTAGTAAATTTTTAAAATCTTTTATTTTACACCTTTGGGTTTGTTATTGTTCTGAGAAAGGTTTCTCCAATTCTGGGAACCTTACACATCCTCTAGTGGTTTCTCTTTTCCTTTTATGGATTCATTGTCTTTAAATAAATCATTGACCTTTGGAGAATTTATGCTCTACGAGGTTTGAAGTTTTAATTCAACTTTTTTTCCCAGTTAGATATTCATTCATGGCAATGCTTTCGTTGTATAAATGTGCAGGATATTCTTTAATTTCAGAGAAAGTAATGAGATGTCATTGTATTGAATACTAGCTAAAAGTTTCCTTTGTTTATTTAGATTTCTCATGGGCATAAGAAAGAAAAAGATCTGTTGTACGAAAATTGCATGTTGCAGGAAGAAATTGCCAGGTTAAGACTGGAAATAGACACAGTGAAAAATTTGGACCAGCAAAAGGAAAATAATTATCTTGAGGACATTAAAATTGTGAAAGAAAAGAATGATTTCCTTCAAAATACTTTGAAGCTGAACGAGGAAACATTTACAACAACGATATTCCAGTACAGTGTACAGTCTGAAGTTTTGAAAGCTGAGAATGAAATGCTCAGTTTTAAATTGAAGGATGAAAACCAAAACCAGGAGAGACTGGAAACAGAAATTGAATCATATCGTTGTAGACTGGCCGCTGCTATACAAGACTGTGATCAAAGTCAGGCATCAAAAAGAGATGTAGAACTCGATTTCCAGAGAACAAGACAAGAGTGGTTTCATTTAAAGGAAAAAATGAATTTTGATATGAGCAACCTAAAAGATAAGAATGAGATGCTTTCTGAAAAACTTTCTAATGCTGAAAATGAAATCAGAAGCCTCAAAATGAAGTGGCACCACACAAAAGATGCTCTAAGAGAAAAGACATTGGTTTTAGAAGATGTCCAAAGAGACCTAACCCAATCACAATGTCAAAGGAAAGAAATTGAACAAATGTTTCAGAATGAAGAAGACAAAGTGAGTAAATACATTCAAAAGCAAGAATCTCTAGAGGAGAGGTTATCTCAAATACAAAACGAAAATCTGTTACTTCGACAGCAACTGAATGAGGCTCACAAGAAAGCTGATAATCAAGAAGCGACAATAATTAATATCCAAGAGCATTTTAATGCTATTGTCAAAAATCAAGCTCAGAGTGAAGAGCAAAGTCTTCTACTGGAGCAGGAAAACAACAAGTTAATTAATAAATGCAATTACATAAATAAAAGATTGTACAAATATGAAAAAGAGAAAGCAGAAAGAAATGTAAGTATTGAGAAAGAAAATATTTTAAAACTTCTTGAAAGAAAATATAAAGCAATATTTGGTTTTTGCTAAATGATGAGTCTCATTGAATATAAATATATATGTATTATAAACATATTTGCTTTATCAGCCTAGAAGCATGCCAGCAAAAAAAAAAAAGACTGGAAAGATGCTTTACTTTGAGTAAAGAAATAGTGTCACCTATGAAATGTTGAGAGGTTAAGTTACAAGTTGTTAATAGAGACTAGTATCAATAGTGTAGTTTTACACTGCTGAAATAATACCTTTTTTAAAATTTGAGACAGAGTCTCACTCTGTTGACCAGGCTGGAGTGCTATGGCACGATCTTGGCTCACTACAACCTCCGCTTCCCGGGTTCAAGCGATTCTCCTGCCTCAGCCTACCGAGTAGCTGGGACCTCAGGTGCGCACCATCACACCCGGCTAGTTTCTGTATTTTTAGTAGAGATGGGGTTTTGCCATGTTGGCCAGGCTGGTCTCGAACTCCTGACCTCAGGTGATCCACCCACCTGGGCCTCCCAAAGTGCTGGAATTACAGGCATAAGCCACCACAACGGGCCTGAAATAATAATTTTCATGTCTTTATGTGGCCACATTTTGAGACCATGATGAAACAGATAAATGGAAATGCTCCTACCGGAAGTGAGTATTTTGAAGTTAAGATTCAATTTGGTGGGTGATTTCGACAGTTAGGTCCAGATTTCCCAGGTGAACTGAAGCGTACTGCTGTATCTCATAAGACTTTCCCTCAGGAGCTTCTTATATATTGAAGTTGGTTTAATTTTATTTTTATTCGTGTCAGTTTGACTTAAATCTGAAAATATTTCAACCTCAAATTATTGTCATGACGTCTCAACTCTGACAGGATTCACTTTTAATTAAGTATAATTTGGGACAGATATGAATGTCAGTAAAACCATATTTGATTTCATCTTACCACTGGCATTTGTAATTTATTTTGAATGTTTTTACAAGTAATTTGTGCATAATTTTTATTTCTAGACTCAATGACTAATTTCATTTGGATATAACTTTGTCCAGTACAAAGATAATTGTAGCAATCTGAGATTTCTTTGTTTGGCGTTGGGTCCCCATGTTCAAACTAATGAGAGGTGACAGGATTCACATATAGTGGGAATGGAGTGAGTAGGAAAGAGAGTGTAGGAGCTGAGATCAGGGAAGTGGAGGCAAGATTATCAAGGGCTTCAAAGACCATTGAAATTTTAGTTTTATTTCAATACAGCAATCTAGTGGAAGGATTTGAGCAGGCAATTGAATAAATGAGGAATTGTGAAGTTGATTTGAACTTCTAATAAAGAAGAGAGAAAACATTTCAGAGTATAGAATTTACAACCACTAGTCTCACTCACATACCCATTTCTTTCTGAGACTTCAGTAGATGATTAAGCATTGCCAACTTAGGTGATGAATATATAATGGGCTGTATCGGTTGTCTAAGTTACAGAATACTGATTTGGCAGGAAAATAACACCTTTTCTGTCCTTAACTGAATTCAGTATTGAACAGGAATGTTCATTACACATGAGGAAAAGAAGGTGAATCAAAGTATGTGGTAATATTTTTCAAAGTATATATGTTAGAGTTAAATTCTATGACCATCATTTAATAATAAGGTAACATAAAATCAATAACAAAAATATCTTTACAGGAAATTGTGAGACAAATTCAACAAGAATTGGCTGATACTGTAAAAAAACAACCTGTATCAGAGCCTTCACTAGAGGCTACACCATGTTGTGTTAATTTAGATGAAACACGGGACTCAGAGAGGAAATCAGGTCAAATCAGAAGTCAAGTATGTATAAAATATAACATGTCAACAGTTAGTCTATAGCTGGTTAAATAATATCAAGTGTTTTAGGATACTAATTTCAGTGAACAGCTTTCTTTTTTATTTTCGTTATAATTAATTTTATTACAATTTTATTACCATTATAATATACTTATTTCTTAACCTCTTGACTTTTATTCTGTCATTTTTTCCTCTTAATTATGTACATATTTTTACTATAATATTTACCTTCAGGAAAAGTTGGGAATTAGACATCATTTCTCACAAAAGTTGAGAGACTTTTTTTCTGTGTAACAGTATTTTTTAGTGATTTTCTCTATTGCCATGGTGAGGCACACCAGATTAAATCAGAGGATAATGTTTATTTCAGAAAATTGTCTTATTTCCTATCTTTACTTTTTACTTTTGTGAATGGGTACAGAATCTCTGTATATTTATTTCATGCATTTCAGGATAATGCATACAGGGAAAAACTGTTATACTGGTCTTCAAAATGCAAATGTTTTAGGTTAGTTTACAAACTACTTGAAATGTTAGGCATTTCTTTCCTGTTTTGTTTCTTTTAAATATATTGTAAAACAGAAATATTCAGATCATGTATAGTACATAATCCAAAGTAGAGAAGAAATTTATGAAAATCCTGCCATTTGATTTTTAAAAGCAACTTTATTAAGATATAATTCACCTACCATACAGTTCACCCATGTAAAGTGTGCGATTCACAGTTTCTTAGTATATTCACACAGTTGTGTAACCACCACCACCATCAATTTTAGAACATTTTTATGACCCTGAAAAGAAACTCTGCATCCCTAAGCTATCATCGACCAGTTTTCCCCTTTTTACTCAGCTCCAGGGAACCACCAGTCTCCTTTGATTGTACAGATTTGTCCATTCTGGATGTTTTCTATCAGTGGAATTACACAATATGTGGTCTTTTGTGACTTTTTTTTTCCACTTAGCATAACATTTTAAGGGTTTTCTGTGTGGTAGCAGGTATCAGTACTTAATTTCTTCTTATTGCTGAGTAATATTCCATTGTGTGAATATACCAATCATTTTATTTATCCACTCATCAATTGATGGACCATCAGGTTGCTTCCAGTTTGTATTGTTATTAACAAAGCTGCCATGAACTTTGATGTAAAAGGGCTTGTGTTTGCACTTTTTTGTAAGAGTGCATATGTTTTCATTTCTATTGGGGTTATACCCAGTGGAATTGCTGGGTCATGTGTTAACTCTTTGAGGAGCTGCCGGTCTGTTTTCCAAAGTGGCTGTGCCATTTTACATTCTTATCAGTATTGTGAGGGTGTTCTAATGTTTTCATATCCTTGCCAAAATTTTCCATATTTTTGACTGAGAAAAGATTTCATTCTAGTAGTGCTATGAGGTACCTTATTGTGGTTTTGACTTGCATTCTTCTAATGACTAATGACTTTAAACATCTTTGTATGTGTTTATGAACCATTTGTATATCTTCTTTGGAGAAATATCTATTCAAATCCTTTACCCATTTAAAATTTTTTTTATTTCTGAATTTTAAAAGTTGTTTTTGTATCCCAGGTGTAAGTCCCTTATCAGATGCATGATTTTCAAATATTTACTTCTACTCAATGGCCTTCCTCTTTGCTCTCCTGATGGTGCCTGTTCAAGTTCCAAATTTTGATCAAGTCCAGTTAATCTATTTTTCCTTTTGGTGTTATGTCTAAGAAACCACTGGCAAATGCAGTCACAAAGATTTATGCCTGTGTCTTCATCTAAGAATTTTATAGTTTTAGCTCTTACATTTAGCTATTTTGAATAAATGTTTAGATATTGCATTTGGTGAGACAATACCATTTGTTGGAAATACTATTCTTTTCTCATTTGTTTTTTAACTCTTGGTGAAAATGAACTGAATACAAACATACAGATTTAATTTTGGATTCTCAACTCTAATATGCTGGTCTATGTCTATCCTTGTTCACTAACATGTCTTGCTCAATTTGTATGACATGGAGAAGCATTTTGTTACAAAATAAAGATAAGATGGTCTCACCTTCTTCATACAAACAGGCTCAAAGTAAGGTAAAGGGGAAATTGTACTTAATTTCTTAACATTCAAAGGACACATTTGTTTTACTGCTGAGAAGATTAAAGATAGTTCCATAATATTCTCTATTTTCTCATTGAAGAAATGAACATAAACATTGAATACTAGATTGATTAGTAAACACTCAAAGTTACTTATCTCTTAGAATTTCAATGAATTGAAATCAGGTCAAACATCTGATTTTGGTTAGAAAATCAAAATATTGCTAGTTTTTTTCACCTTTTATACTTTGTGAACCCAGAAGATCTAAGCCAGGTCTCAGTTAATTTAGAGAGTTTATTTTGCCAAGCTTGAGGACATGCCCATGACACAGCTTCAGGAAGTCCTGATGACATGTGGACAAGGTGGTCAAGGCACAACTTGGTTTTATATGTTTTAGGGAGACATGAGACATCAATCAATATAGGTAAGAGGCACATTGGTTCTAGAAAGGTGGGACAACTTGAAGCAAAGGCAGGAAGACTCAAAGTGGGGAGGGAGCTTCCAGGTCCCAGGTAGGTTATACGCAAAGAAATACGTTCTTTTGAGTTTCTGATTAGCCTTTCCGAAGGAAGCAAGTCAAATATGCATCTATCTCAGTGAGCGAAGGAAGCAAGTCAAATATGCATCTATCTCAGTGAGCGGAGAGGTCACTTGGAATAGTATGGGAGGCAGGTTTGCCCTAAGCAGTTTCCAGCTGGAGTTTTCCTTAGTGATTTTGGGGGCCCAGGATATTTTCCTTTCACAACTTCAAACCATATATTTCCTTTCATCCTCACCATCTTCATCCCATAACTTGAGGAACAAATTCTAAAAAGGCTCTTTTTCTTTATCAGACTTTGTAACTGAAGAAAATTTTAGAAAAACTTTCTCCTCAATAGTTCTTATGCCTTTGTCCTAATTGTCTGCTGCTTCTCGTTAGCATTGTTTGTTGTTAATAAATTAAATTCAGCACTTATTAATTCCTACTTTAAAGAACATTAATTTCTACTGTGTAAGTTATTTTTTCTTGATGTCTCTTTGTTTAAATCAGACTTTCTGTTTATTTTTTCCTAAAAAATTATCTAAAGTTGAGTCGCTGAAAACACCATTTATTTAGTTCAGCCATCTGTGGCTGGGGAAAACCTTGGCCGGGGCAGCTTATCTCCATTCCCTTGAGCTTCACTTGGGATAAATCAGAGGTTGGAGGACTGGAATCCTCAGAAGGCTTGTTCCCTAACTGTCTGGTTGTTCATAATGGCCATTGACTGAAACTTTAGTTGGGGCAGGCAGCTCAAATACCTTCATTGGAACTCCTAGGCTGTCTTTGTGGCCTGAGCTTCCTCACAACATGGGGGCTAAGTTCCAAGGACAAGCAGTGTGAGATGGAGGGCCTTTTCTAACTTAATGTTGGAAGGCACGTGGTATCACTTTCACCACATTTCTTCATTAGAGGCCAGTCAGTAGGGTTGGCCCACAGTCTACTTCTTTATAGGATACAGTTTTTCTTCTATTTTTATTACTTATCTATTTATATATATTAGAAATTGGATCTCACTGTGTTACTCAGGCTGGCCTTAAACTCCTGAGCTCAAGGGATCCTCCTGCTTCAGCCTCCCAAGTTGCCGTGACTACAGGCATGTTACCCCATGCCTGGCTTTCTTTTATATTCTGTGGTCATATATATTTGTACATATTTATAGGATACACAGTAATATTTTGATACATGTAAATAATGTATAATCATCAAATCAGGCTAATTATTATATCCAGCACTTCAACCTTTACCATTCTTTTTTTTTGTAAACATTCATAATCCTCTCTTCTAGCTTTCAAAAAAATACAATAAATCATAGTTAATCATATTCACCCTACAATGCCACAGCACACTAGAGTTCATTCTATCTAGTGATAACTTTTTATCCATTAACCAACCTCACCCCATGCCCCACTCCCCTTCATTTCCCAGCTTCTAATATCCACAATTCTATTCTCTACTACCGTGAACTCATTTTTAAAAATTAGCTCCCACATGAGTGAGAACATACAGCATTTGTTTTTCTTTGCCTGACTTATTCTACTTAACATAATGTCCTCCAAGGTCATCTATGTGGCTGAGAATGATATAATTTTATTCTATTTTATGGCTGAATAATCTTCCATTGTGTACAGATACCACATTTTCTTTATGCATTCATCTGTTGATAAACATTTAGATGGATTCCATATCTTAGTAATTATAAATAGTGATACAATAAAAATGGCAGTGCTGGTATTTCTTTGATACATTTATTTTCTTTCTTTTTGATAAATACTCAGTAGTGGGATTGCTGGATTGTTTGATACTTCTATTTTTAGTTTTTAAGAAAGCTCCATACTGTTTTCCTTAATGGCTATACTAATTTACATTCCCTCCATGAGTGCATAAGTTTCCTTTTTCTGCAACCTCACCAGCATTTTTTACTTTCTATCTTTTCGATAGTAGCCATTCTAACTGTAGTGAGATGATATCTCATTGCAGATTTATTTCCTTTCCTGATGATTACAGATGTTGAGTATTTTTTCATATATCTCTTGGCCATTTGTACATCTTCTTTTGAGAAATGTCTATTCAGATCCTTTGCCCACTTTTTAATCAGATGATTAATTTTGTTTTTGCTGTTGGGTTGTTTGAGCTCGTTATATAGTCTGAATATTAGACCCTTGTCAGATGAATAGATTGCAAACATTTTCTTCCATTATGCAGGTTGTCTCTTCACTCTGTTGGTTGTTTCCTTTGCTATGAAGAAACTTTAATTTTGATATAGTCTCATTGGTCTATTTTTGCCTGTGTTTTTGATGTTTTAGTCATCACAGCTTTGCCTAGACCAAGGTACTGAAGTATTTCTGCTATGTTTTCTTCTAGTAGTTTTACAATTTTGGTTCTTATGTTTGTCTTTAATCCATTTAGAGT